CAGGCTTCACCAAGCATCAATCTCCATCTTCATGGCCTTCAGACAAGGGCTTTGATCCTCAGTCTTCCATCTGCAATGGCTTTTCTTCAAGCTCAAAGCTCCAGGATGAGGGATTAGTCACAAGAGTGAATTGGGTGTTAAGCAATCAGTTGACTACCAAAGGTGGTGAACAGACTGCTTCTAACACAAGAGACAGTTTCTCTCAAGAGTTCTATCTCATAGACACTATCACCAAGCCTTCCAAAGGAAGGGGGTGAGTGTCTTAGAGAGACTCTGAATCACAGAGAAGAATGGATGCAGACAAGGCAATCCATGTTTGAGAAACAATCATTCTAATCTAGAGCTCTGCCTAGCTCCTAAACCCTAGTCTCCTCAGCATCTGCTAGCAAGAGACTCCTCCTCAACTCTGACAGTTGATCTTCAATCTTTGACTCTTCAATGGCTTCATCTCCACAAATCTTCAGCTTCCCCAGGGCCCCAGACAAACCCAATACCCAATCAAACAATCCACAATTCCCAGAGGGCACACCACACCAGACAGCAGATATACAGACAGTAATAATATCAGTAGGGGAGTCCTAATTTTTTCTAAGGGATCTAATAGCTACCCATAGCCCATATAGTCCCATAACTAATCTATTCAAACCCTAAGTCCTAAGGGAGAAAATTGAACTTCCTAAGTTGTTACCTAAAAACCCTAGTTTTATTCATGATATTCAAGCATCTATTAATCACCTAAAAGTAACTCCTAAAAATGGGAAATAAAATATTTCTACAAGCTTAACATCTCATCTAAACAATATGAAAAGAATGATCAAAAAATATTAAAGCATGTGAGAGAACAAAAATCATAAAAATAATGCATGAAATGTAACTATTTATTATGCTATTTATTTAGAAAATATGTAAAAAATATGAAATAAAACTAAAAATGAAATTTTATTTTCCTATAATGTTCTAGACATGTTAATGAGAATATGGTAAAAAGAATGGATTAAAAAGCATTTTTTATGAATTTATTATGGATTTTAGAAGATTGGTAAAATAATGAAATGAAATAAGAAAATAAAAAGAAATGAAATGAAGGAGGGGGTTAGAAGAGAAATTCGCTCAGTTATAAATCCAGAATGGGCCACAATAGGGGGGCGCGCTTAGCATTTCTGGCTTAAGCCCAACCTGAGTTCAGAACTAAAGAGGAATAGAAGCGCCAGGGGGGGTGAGACAAGTAACAAATCCAGGTTGAAAATACATTGGGCCTAATTCTGGGGGTGGAATTAGCACAAGAGCCTGAGGCCCGCCCGTTTCAATTAATGAAACGGTGCGTTTGGCACCCAGCTTCTCCCTCCAAATCTGAAATCAAACGCAGGCCACACGATCACGCCCAGAGTCAAAAGTTCAACTCCAAATGAAGGGCCACGATTGCATCTTCCCCAAATAACCTGCAACTAGGGTTTGAGCTTCCATGAAAGCTCCCATGCACGAGCTACCTTCCTCCTTTCTGTTCTCACTCCACACGCAACGAATCCTCACACCATAAACATGAAATCTGCTCAAAATCTTTCACTCTACAATCCTATGATCTCAATTCCCTTTGAAATTCACCACATCAACAAATTCGATGGAATCAACATTCGGCCTCCATTGAAATACACTGGTATGCATCATCACCAAACTTCCTCAAACCTAGCCTAACTTAAACTACATCTAATGGAGGTTAACCTATGCTATCAAGCCACGATTATAACACCCTAATCTAAGAGATATCAACACCAACAGATTATGGCACCTGCTAATAAACTTCACCAAATCGTTCCAAACTCACCTAAACCAATCTCCTAACCACCTAGATTGCATCTAAACTAACTACATCATGCCAAATTAACTAGATCAAGTAGCTTGAATGAAAACTTACCTTGTAAGAAATCTTGAGAAACAGCTATGGAGAGGGAAGATCTGAGGCTTTTAAGTGTTGAATCTTGATCAATCCTTGATGTATGTGATTCTGTATGCACAAACTTGGAGTTTCCTTGCTTGAATCATGCAATCCACTTGAACTTGTAGTTTTGAGATTCTTGAGAAAAGCACTCGAATATGAATGATTCACACCAAGAACTTGCTTCAATTATGATCTGTGATGATGATGGAATGGAATTGAGTTGATTATGATGAAGATTGATGAAGGTTTTGAGAGAATTGTGATGAAACTCCAATGAAAAAGTGTGATAGATTTTGTGAAATTCTTGGTGCAAATGAGGCCAACCCTTGATCAATGCACATTTCATGAATATATAGACCCCAAATGAACATTCTAGATCCATCTTGCACATTCCCTTGTTTTCAAATTTTGATCCATTTTGATTATGTTTCTTAAATGATAAGCAACCATGGATAACTTCATTTTTTCCTTCTAAACTCAAAAAAGTGTGTGAACCATTGTTCTTAGAATTGTTTTTCCATTCAAAATCATATATTGGAAGTCTCCATTTGGACTTGTAAATCTCCCAAACCATTTTCCATCTTGAAATTGTTCACTTTATAAGCCTTTTTAGTTCAACTTTTGACCAATCATGCAACTCCATGCTATGAGCTTCTCCAATAACTTGTGACCTTCTTTCTAGACTTAAAATCCCATTTGGAGCAAGTTTGATGTTGGAAGTTTTTCCATTTGAGGCCTCCTTGTATGAGTTTTGGGTATAGGTTAAAATGACCTGTAATTCACAAATGCCCAAAATACCCTTTGCTTGCCAAGATCATAAGTTGAGTTCTATAAATCTCCTTGAAGTCTTCCACCACTCAAATTAAAGGTCTTGAGATCCTCTACAAGTTTCATGTTGGCCAAGAAGCCATTTGAAACTAGCATTTTGACTTATCTTGCTTGGAAATTTGACCTAAACTAGGGGATTTTACAGAGAAACCCTAATTTAGTAACTCCTCTTCTCCTTGATTTCTCTTGAATTCTTCTTGTCATATCTCCATGTCCTTCTTCATATGTCAAATGTTGATCCCCACATCTCTCCAATAGACTTGAATGCCCTCTTAAGTCAGTCAATTGACCTAGGGTTGACCTAGGGTTGACCCAGATGAAACCCTAGTTGACTGTCTTCAACTGTAGCTCTTGTGCCTTCATCAATGACTTGTTTTCTTCTCCAAATGACTTTATAAGTCTCTCATAAGGTCTAGATGCTCTCCATACCTTCACTCCACAGCTCACAACCCTCTTGTTGATCCTCAAACACCCTCAGCTAGGAGATGGACTCAAGGCTTGATCTGCTGAACTCTTTGCTTTCAAATTCTTTCCTGATGACTTGAATGAGATTGAATTATGATGATAACCTCTTGCTAGGCCTCTGGAGATGAGAATAATGATTGGTCCCCTGTTGAATGACTTGCTATGCTTATGCTATGCAGATGGTTAGTCTATGTACATGACTCTATATGCAAATGCTAGTGACAATGAACCATGAACCACATGAATATGGTTGAGCAAATTTTAGGGTGCAACACACATTAGACAGCGCTTTTATGTATAAGCGCTGCTAAAGGGGACAGAGAAACTGCTAAAAAAGCGCTGCTATAGGTGGGGAAAGAGGGGTCTAAGACAGCGCTTTCATAAAACGCTGCTATAGGGGGGGTCTAAGACAGCGCTTTAATAAAGCGCTGCTAAAGGGGGGGAGGGGGGGGGGGGGGGGAGATTAGGCAGCGCTTTAAAAAGCGCTGCTAAAGGGGTAAAAAAGCGATGCTAAAGGTGATGTCTTTAGCAGCGCTTTAAAAAGCGCTGCTAAAGGGGTAAAAAAGCGATGCTAAAGGTGATGTCTTTAGCAGCGCTTTTTCCACAAAAAAAGCGCTGCCTTTACCTTTAGCAGCGCCACTTTAGGCAGCGCTTTAAAGCGCTGCTAAAGGTCTTTTTTTGGCATAGTGAACTATCATCCAAAGTCTAAACCTTCATAAATTTGAATGACCTAGCCTAATCAAATATACCTTTGTTACAGTGGAGAAGAATATGGTAATAGTTTAAGTGATTCTTGATAAAAGGGGAGCAATTGTTTGTATTTCAACTATCTATCCAATTCGGATTATAAATGGTTATGTCAAGCCTAGGATTATAAATGGTTATGTCAAGTCTAACAGAAGAGTAAACACCACTTTTTCTCTCATTAATCCAAATGTAATAGCTACCATTTAGTGCCAAGATGCATAAGCTCATTTTAATTGGTTCAACTAAGAAACTCATCAATAAAATTTTTGTCTGGAGGACATCTATCAAATTTCTCATGAAAATCAATAATTCTATTGAAATCACGTATCATGCACCAAGGATAAATATTCATCGGTTGATAGTTTCATTTCAAATCTGTCTTCAAATCGCATGAGAGTTACTTATATATATAACACTAATAAAAAATTTAGTTTAATCCAAAAAAAGAATATTACTTGTTATTTTAGTCGAACTTAATACAAATATTCCACACAATTAATAGGTTTAAATTATAATTTTGTCTAAAATTTAGTACGAAACTCTTAAATTTGATTTGTTTAAGATACTTAACTGAGAAATAAACATAAAGAGTCATTAATTCAACAATAAAAAGCAAGTCAGACTTTTCCTCTATTTTATTACTGAATGTCATTTGTTCGAGGTCTTATATGATTAGAGTACTTAAGAACATGAAATTATGCATATTATTCCATCAATGATAAATAAATGCTTTTGAGAATTTAAAAAAAAAATCACATAACCTGTATAAAGAACAACAATATATCAACTAAATATACATATATTTTCAAATTAAAAACATATAATTAGTGTAAAAGTATGACTAACGATAATCTACACACTCTGCTGCTATTGTTATTTATTTCAACACATAAATCTATAGGCTTAGCTATGGGCTATGGCCATAAATCTCTTACATAATTCCAAAAAAATAAAATAAAATAAAGAATTCTAGCATAGGTCCCAAAAAAAAAAACACAAAAACAAAAACATTGAAACTCCATCTCTAAAGTTTCACCTTATGTTTACAATTCATGTCCTGAATTCCTCTCTTTGAAATATCAATCGTCATAGTACAATTCATCTTCACCTCAACATGTTTCTTAATAAACAAAATCTTCACCCTCCCCGGAATCACCGAATAAGTATTCATAATCATCTCTCCCTGAAGCACATCTCTCAACAAATCCGGACTAGAAGCGAGGCGATCAGCCATAACATCCACCGTAACATTCAACGCCGACGTCTTCCGCGCCTTGATCACAATCCCCGCCGGTATCACCGCATCCGCAACCGATATACCGCGATAATACACCGATGTCGTGCTATTCCCAAGCTTAAAGGAAGCTCTATTAGAATTCCTAATAGACATGTTCACTAGCATGGTCATGTTGATCTTAACCTGAGGTGTTGGAAGTTGAACTAGGTTGAGACCAAAGTTCGTGAGATGGATCTCATTTGTTGTTACTGTCGGATCTTTAACCTTAAAAACCGTGAATACTAAGATGACAATTACTATGACTAAAAGTAGTAGTAAAATTGACGTTATACAACCACATAACTTGAGTTTTCTTCTACGGTTCATTTTTTTGAGAGCTTTCTCTTCATCGTCGCTTCGTGGGTGGACTCTAACTGGAGCTAATGGTCTTGCTTGATCGGTTTCTGCCATTGTTGTGTGTACAAATTTAATTTGTGGTTGAAGTTTGAGTATGTTTATATAAAATATTTTTTTTGGCTTAAGTAGTAAATTAATGTATGGACACGTTTTGATGAGTTAATTGACTATAAATAATAAATTCAGAAAGAGAATATGGAGACACGGTTATAAATGGGTGTGCTTTGTGTGTCAAGATTTCAAAGCTGGTTTATGTTGACTCTATCTAGATGTAGTTATTTCATCAATATAATAAATGGACTGTTTGACTTTTAGTTTTCTCTGCGTAGTAAAATTTTGGATATTTTAATGAAAATAACTTATTGTATTTTGTCCAAACTTTAGTTTTTAAACTTGGCCATTTTTCTAATTAAAAAATGTCTGACCATTTTCTAAATTTGTTTTTTTTCTTTCTAATATTTTACCATGACAAGAACCCCCAACTTATAAATTTGTTGGTGCAATACTAATCATTTTGAGTATAATTGGTATGTATGAGTTGATAATGTAAAATAATTTTACAGTAATATATCAATCTGCTATGTTATACCATTAACTTAAAATTTTCAATTTAATATGACGGAATGCGTGAGGGTGATTGATTGACAGTGTAAAATTATTTTACATTGTTAGTGCATACCAATTAAATTCAATCATTTTATATATAAGGTACTCAATAAATTTAAAAATGAGCTTTTGTTATATTAATGGACAAAAGGATATGAAATCTATAATGAATTTTATACATTACGATCTCTACGGCTTCAGAGATTCACCAATATGTAGAGAAGGTTATGATTCGAATCACAAAGTTTCCTGACTTGAATTATAGGATTGGTGATTGGAATCAAAGTCATTCAAACTAAGTATGATTCAAATCAAGCATTGTTTAACTTGAATCACACACCCAAACTTGATTTAAATTACTAGTAATAATTTTTTTCACTTTATTACCTTGATTTTATTCTTTCTTTGATTCAAATCACAATATCTCTTGATTTGACTCAATGTCATAGTTCATTTTATTTCTTTTTGTACCTTACCTCTAACACATATTTAAACCCTTTTAATTTCTCTAAAAAGGATTGTTGACTTTGTTAGTCAATGACATTTGTGAATCAAATATGGTGATCACAATCGAGATAAACCTCATGATAAGCCATTGAATATTTATGTGGTATTTTGGATCAAACTATAGTGTCAACAATGGTAATTTCATGGTTCGACAGGAGTTGCGCATGTTGGAGTCGAAGTCTGTTCAAGCATGTTATCGAAATATGTTAGTTTTGTGTTTAAGTTAGCATGTCGAATTGGGTCTTGCTTGTAAGTCTAATTGTTAAGTTAGCTTATAGCCTAAGTTAGCTTAGTATAAATTAACTAGTTCTCTTAGGTTGTTGAGTGAGGATAATTGTTGGTATTCACCTGTAATCTTTGAACCCTTATTGAGTAAATGAATAGAAAAATAGTTTTAACCAATTTTTATTCTTCTTCTTCCTTCTTCTCTATCTTTTGTAAAAGCCTTAATGCCTTATTTGGTCCTTTAACTTAATTTAAAGTTTCACTTTAATCCCTTATTTAATAAATGTTTGTTCTAAGTCCCTTATATGTCATTCTGTTAGTCACATTAGCCATGTCCGTTAAGTTTTTCCAAAATTTGTTAAGTTGTGTATGTGTGGCAGCCCAGCTGGTTCTATATTTAATGATATGGAATTATTTTATTTTATATTGATTTAAAATTTAAAATTTAAAAATAAAAGAAGTTGAATTATATAATGTATGAAGAAATTTCTTCTCTCTTCTTCAAACCCTAGTCACCACCTCTTTCACTTCTTCCTCTCTGTCTTTCTAAAACTTGAATCTAACGTTTTTGTTTTCCTTTTCAGATCTTAAAGTTATTTCAAATCTCAGAGTTATGCCTAATTTTGTTTTTATTTTCAATGTTATCCGGTGATTCAATGGTATGTTTAATTTTTTTTTTTTTGAATTTTAGAGTTTTCTTTATTAGAAAAAATCAATCTTTCTTAGATTTGGAATCACGAATTTTTGCTGTTTTGCGATTGCAATCAAAGTTTTGAAGAATTTACTTAATTGGCTATTTACTGAAATATGATTTCGTATCTCTGTCAATTCTATTCTCATCAACATACATGAGGTAATTAAGATTTATTTTATGTTGATGTTTTTTAAAACTTAATTTAGTTTTCAGCTATATATGAATTAAAGTATAAATGTCTTGCATTTTACCATTTGAGTTGTTCATTGTGCGTTCCCTTTAATTTTTTTTACTTATATATTCAAAACATAAGTAATATTAATACTCAAGAGATTGGTTTAGAGTAAGTACTACACTTACTCAGAGGTCAATTGTGCTGCATATTTTAGTTGGATTTGTCAATCACTCCCAAAGTTCTTCCTTATTTTCTTGTGTTTTGTATTTATGTGTTTGTTTAACTATGAATGTAAGCCATACCCTCATTCCTCTTTTGCTACTATTAGCCTTATTCTAAGCCTATGATATCATTATACACAAGTTTAGAGTTTGAAAACATGTCTAGTTTTTTATCAAAAGAAAAGAAAACATGTCTGTTGTACATAAATTTGGCATCCTGAAATTATATGTTGATAAAACATTGTGTTAATATTAGTACTCTTTTTTTTTTTATGAATAATAAATGTGGTTATGTTCCAGTCATAAGCATAATTTGATTTCAAATATTCTCACTAACTGCATAGGCATAGGAACAAATACATAAATTAATTCAATCTAGATTATAAATGAATTAGATATTTTAATTATATTTACTAAGTTTTGTTTACAAAAACATGTTGTCTCTTTAGTTGTATTTTTATTATTACTAATAACGTTGAAGCATGAGTAATTTTTTTGTAATGTGCCTAAGTCACGGTTAAAGGTTTAGCTAGAGAAAAATCTTTTGAAAGTTAGTCCCAAATTTCATGTTTATATATCTATGGTTGATGTTTCAGCTAATATATAAAATTGTTACTTTTAACAAGAGTAAATATGGACACAACTGAAGTTGAAAAAATTTGAAATCAACTGTCTTTGACACTATAAGAAACTCATCCTAACACAAACTCAACAACACCAACCGAATTGGCACCACTAAGTAAGGCAACATCAAATAAGTCTGCACTACCAAGTCAGTCAGCATTAACACAATCTACACCAACACTTTCTTCAATTCAGCTAATTCCAAAGAGAAAAAAAGAAGACTTCAAAAGGGATCAAAACTTGGAGCCAACCAAAATTGTGTTTATCTTTTGTAATAATGTTTATGTACACTTTTTTTAGTTGTGTACGTGCGCCAGATGATATTTTGAAATATGTTTAATGTCATTTTGGTTTAATGTCTTTGATTTGAATCAAAGATTGAAATAAAATTCTGATTTAATGTTATTAAATTCAAGATTATGTTGCTATGAAATTTTGGTATGGTAAATAAAAGCTTATTGTCTGATAAAATTATATGAAATTCTAGTATAGCCATTTTAATCACTGTTTGGTTATTGTCCTAGACTGACCCCTTAACTAACTATAAGGTTTCAATTTAGCCCCTTAAAGAAACTGATGACTCACTATTTTGACTTTTGTCACACTGTTGTCGCTACTGCGAAAATCGGCGCCGGCTGACAGAAGAGTCGACACCGTGCGTTATTTATCCCAACGGAGGGAAAGGAAACGCTCGAAGTAAACCTCGCAAAAAACGGGGAAAGGTATGGTCATCGCAACCAAAACCTGGGTTCGGGAGTCGGTTACGCAAGGGGAAGGTATTAGCACCCCTCACGTCCGTCGTACTCGACGGGATCCACGCTTGCTTGGGTTGTCTAGAGGATGCAAAACAATCTATCTACGGCTGCTAAATCTAAACGGAAAGGGATTGACTCGATAGAGCGTCACACTCTATGCCTACGTATTCTCAAGAGAGAAAGTCAGAGTCAACGTAGTTCGAGACTACAGGGAAAATTGGCTCGCCAAGACCTCGCGTCTTGTGCCTACGTACTTCCACACTGCATGGAAGATCAGAGCTTTACGTAGTTCAGGCTAACTACGGCTAAACAAGGCATTCTCACACAGCAGTGAGAAAAACAACTGGTTTCACAGGGTCGGGAACCTATGGGCAAAACTATGGCTTGGTCTCAAATGCACTTGGGCAAGAGAGAAAAAAGGGTTACAATTAATCGTCAGCGGGAAAGTCTCGATCGCACAGCCGCGAGAGAACAACAAGTCAGTCGTTAGTGTGCTCGCTAGGATGTCGCATCCTATGCCTACATATCCTTGTCTGGTACAAGGAATCAGAGCAGCTGTAGTTCGGCTACTTCGGGACCACAGCTCAAATCTCGTTTTATTAATCTTCTGAAAAATGGTTACAATGCTTGAATACTGAAAAATAAATCTCCTAGGAAATACTATCCTATTCTATCCTGAAAAATCGAATGGAAAAATAGCCCCCTAACAAGTGGGCTTCTAAACTATCCTAAGATCGTAAAATAATCTCTATGAAAATATATCCTAAAAGAAAATGTACTTTAAAAATATTAAATCTACTTTAATATTTTTCCTTTTTCCTCCCTTTCTTTTCAACATATTTTTCCATATTTTTCTATATTTTTCTATGTATTTTTTCACAATATTTTCTCTCTTTTTCAATATATTTTTTTCTCTTTTTCTTTTACTATTTTTTCTACCTTTTTCAATATACTTTTTTCTCTTTTTCTTTTCAATATTTTCTTTTTCACTTTTATTTCTTTTTCTCTTTTTTCAATATTCTTTCTATCTTTTTCAACAATTCTCTTTTTTAATATTTTTTCTTTTAATATATCTCCTTTTTTTTACTTCAAAGAAAATAAGAAGAAAAAACAAAATACAAGGGAGGGGGGTACATTGTAGTTTACAGGGGGAGTAAAAGAAAAAATAAAAATGTAACAAACTTGGGCCCAGCCCAGTACATGACAAAAACGGGGGAGGGGGTATGATGCTGAACTGGGGGTGTGTG